CCTCCGTCTCCTGGGTTCAGGCAATTCTCCTGCCTCAGCCTCCTGAGTCACTGGGATTACAGGCACGCGCCACCATGCCCAGCTAATTTTTTGTATTTTTAGTAGAAACGGGGTTTCACCATGTTGACCAGGATGGTCTCGATCTCTTGACCTCGTGATCCACCCGCCTCGGCCTCCCAAAGTGCTGGGATTACAGGCTTGAGCCACCGCGCCCGGCTGTGATACAAGTTCTTTAGTGGTGATACTTGAGATTTTGGTGTACACTTTACCTGAGCAGTGTACACTGTGTCCAATGTATAGTCTTTTATCCCTCACCCCCCTCCCACCCTTTCTATTGAGTCCTCAAAGTTTATTTTTCTTGAGACGGAGTCTCTGTCGCCCAGGCAGGAGTGCAGTGGCATGATCTCAGCTCACTGTAGCTTCCACCTCCTGTGTACAAGTGATTTTCCTGCCTCAGCCTCTCAAGTAGCTGAGACTACATACACATGCCACCAAGCCTAGCTTACTTGTGTATTTTTAGTAGACACAGGGTTTTACCACGTTGGCCAGGATGCTCTTGATCTCTTGATCTCGTGATCCGCCTGCCTTGGCCTCCCAAAGTGCTGGGATTACAGGTGTGAGCCACTGCGCCCGGCCGTTGTATCATTCTTACGCCTTTGTGTCCTCATAGTGTAGCTCCCACTTTTTTAAAAAATTATTTTTATTATTAATTTTTAGAGACGGGATTTGCTTGTTGCCCAGGCTGGAGTGCAATGGTGTAATCTCGGCTCACTGAAACCTCCACTTCCCGGGTTTAAGCGATTATCCTGCCTCAACCTCCCTAGTAACTGGGATTACAGCCATGAGCCACCAAGCCCAGCTAATTTTTTGTATTTTTAGTAGAGATGGGGTTTCTCCATGTTGGTCAGGCTGGTCTCGAACTCCCGACTCACGTGATTCACCTGCCTCAGCCTCCCAAAGTACTGGGATTACAGGTGTGAGCCACCGCGCTCGGCCATGTAGCTCCCATTTATGGGTGAGAACACAGGCTGTTTGGTTTTCCATTCCTGAGTTACTTCACTTAGAATGAAAGTCTCTAATTCCATGCAGGTTGCAGTGAATGCCATTATTTCATTCCTTATTATGGCTGAGTGGTATTCCATGGTATATACAACTCATTTGCTTTATCCACTTATTGATTGATGGGCATTTGGGCTGGTTCCATAGTTTTGCAGTTTTGAACTGTGCTGCTGTGAAAATGTGTGTGCAAGTGTCTTTTTCATATAATGAATTCTCTTTTTTTTTTTTTTTTTTTTGAGACAGAGTCTTGCTCTGTCACCCAGGCTGGAATGCAGTGGTATCATCTCCACTCACTGCAACCTCTGCCTCCTGGGTTCAAGCGATTCTCCTGCCTCAGCCTCCTGAGTAGCTGGGAACACAGGCATGCACCACCACGCTTGGCTAATTTGGTACTTTTTAAAGTAGAGAGAGGGTTTCTCTCCATGCTGGTCAGGCTGGTCTTGAACTCCTAACCTCTAGTGATTCACCTGGTTTGACCTCCCAAAGTGCTAGGATTACAGGCAGGAACCACCGTGCCTGGACTTCGTATAATGACTTCTTTTCCTCTGGGTAGATACCCAGTAGTGGGATTGCTGGATCAAATGGTAGTTCTACTTTTAGTTCTTAAAGGAATCTCCAGAAAGGGGATCAGAAATAAAGTGCAGCTGGCTGGGTGCAGGGACACGTGCCTGTAGTCACAGATGCTCTGGAGGCTGAGGCAGGAGGATTGCTTGAGTCTAGGAGTTCTGGTTTATTTATTTTAATATGTAAAATTTTTAAAAAAGGAAACAAAATAAAGTGCAACTTACCCTGTCAGAATCCAAACTAGAAAATCACTAACCGAGCAGTCTTTTGTCTCTTCTGGTATGCTGTGGTCTATTTTTCCTGTCTCTGAGTATACATGTTCCATTCTTTTGCTTCTCAGCGTATTCATGGCCTTTCTCTTTGTTCTAACCTCTGCTTTTCGGTGGCATTGGCTGGTCAGCTCCAGCCCCGTGTGACTTTTCAATCCCAGTGCCCACCATCATCCACTGACCCAGTCTCTGAGGGTGCTAGCTTATGTGAGTCCATTCCACTCTTGATCCTATCAGCTCTGGCCAGAGGCAGGGGAGTCACCTTGTGAGTACTTGGGGTTGCCCTTTCCAGAGCCCTCTGAGAAAGGTGTGTGTTTGGAGAGGCAGTGACTGGCATGTTTACTACAAGTAGAAAAATTTTTTTGGTAAATTTTATTATTTTTAAAATTTATTATTATTATTTTTAAATGGAGTCTTGCTCTGTCACCCAGGCTGGAGTATAGTGGCGTGATCTTGGCTTACTGCAGCCTCTGCCTCTGCCTCCCAGATCAAGTGATTCTCCTGCCTCATGACTCCCAAGTAGCCAGGATTACAGGCATGGACCACTATACCCAGCTAATTTTTGTATTTTTAGTAGAGATGGGGTTTTGTCATGTTGGTCAGGCTGGTCTCAAACTCATGGCCTCAAGTGATCCACCTGCCTCAGCCTCCCAAAGTGCTGGGATTATAGGCGTGAGCCACTGCACCTGGCCCATGTAGGAAATTTTTATTCAAAGCTGGATCACACATAATATGCTAGCATCCCCTATGATAAGTAGGTTATATAAGCGGCAGTCCTCATTATGTGATATGTTGAGTGAGGGGCACTTGTTTTTATGCAGCTGATACCAGGGAGTACACCTGCTGAGCAGATGCATTTGGGCCTTGCCTACCGAGGCATACACTAAGTGCTGGCCTGGGTCAGTATTATACAGGATCACTTGAGTGAAGCTTAGGAGACTGAAAATTAACACAAACCTTCCTTGTCTAATGACATAGCTTTAAGAAAGTAGAAATACAGACAGAGGTAGTATATTACTTTTATTTCAAAGTCTGGGCTAACAAGTTAATCTGATAGCAACATGTAACATATCAGTGATCTCATTGTGTAAACACAAATCTGACACCAAATGTTTGTAAAACTGCCTGAAGCATTTCAGTGATCATTGTACAGCACCATGGAATCGTTCTCCTGTGAATCTGGGATGGTTTGTTTAGCTAGTCCTATGAGAACACATGGACACAGGGAGAAGGGGAGCATCACACACTGGGATCTGTCCGGGGGGGAAATGTGGGGAGGGACAGTGGGGGGTGGGGAGTTGGGGAGAGATAGCATGGGGAGAAATGCCCCAGATAGAGGTGATGGGGAGGAAGGCAGCACATCACACTGCCATGTGTGTACCTATGCAGCAGTCTTGCATGTTCTTCACATGTACCCCAAAACCTAAAATGCAGTTTAAAAAAATGCTACTCCTGTATTTCTTGCCAAATTCTATCTTAGAAATATGTACAGGGCCGGGCACGGTGGCTGAAGCCTGTAATCCCAGCACTTTGGGAGGCCGAGGTGGGTGGATCACGAGGTCAAGAGATTGAGACCATCCTGGTCAACATGGTGAAACCCCGTCTCTACTAAAAATACAAAAAAATAGCTGCGCATGGTGGTGCATGCCTGTAATCCCAG